AGCCAGCTTATCTTCATGTTTCCTGTTCTCTCTCTCTCTATTCCCCCTCCGCCCCATCAAAGCCCTGCCCCATCTAAGGAGATCTGATTTGTGTGTGTTTCCTATAAGTTACAAGATGCTTCGCTTCTCTTCTTCCCCTCCCTCCCCACTCTGTGAGCAGAAAGTTTAAAAGTATTGGAAGCAGCTTTAGCTTTGGGCTGCTGATTCCCCGCATGTCAAACTGTTCTCATGTTCGTGCTGGTGGAAGAGGAGAGGAAGGGTAGTCCGGTCTATAGGGCTCTCGCCTAGGTCCTGGGAGACCAGGGATGAATTCCCTGTTCCTCCACAGACTTCTTGTGTTAATTGGGCAAATAGCTTTACCAATGCTTAAATGTTATGGCTGCTCAGACCTATTGGTGGGGGTGGAGGGGAAAAATCACCCCCCAACTGACGTAACAATGCAGACACCTCTGCATTACAACAATACACACCTCTGTCAACAGAGGAGTACTTCTGCAGTGGCCCTCTGACGGAACATCTCCTTTGTAAGCATAGTCTGCGTCTACCCGTGCGGGCTGTGTCCACATGGCTAGGCCCACATAAGCTTCATGGTGTACTGTAGACAGACTCTTAACCGCTCCATGCCTCAGTTGCCCTTCTGTACAGTGGAGAGAATCTCACTGCCCTGCTCCACAAAAGTGTTGAGAACAAATATGTGAAAGGTGCCCAGATGCTAGGGTGACGGGCACCATAGAATTACCTTCGGCAGCTATTTGCACGGCAGCGTTGTCTAGTCGACTGGGCCTCAGAAAAGAAGAGCTCTGCTCCCAGCTTTGCTCAGTGACCTGGGGCAAGACACTGAAGCCCCCCTTCCCATCATGTGCCTTCCTTCTTTGTTACAGCATATGTCCTTCAGGGCCAGGACTGTCCTTTCCTAGATGTTTGTGCAGCACCCACAACAGAGGGCTGCAGCCTTGGGTAAGGATGCCTCTGCATTTCCAGGGTACCGGTGTAATAACGAAGACATCTGGCTGCAAAGAGACAGCATTTAATGGGAGTGGTGGGGGATAGTCTAGCGTTTCTGGGGTCCCAAGTGAAATCACTAAGTCAAGTCGCATCTGCAATGGGCAGGTGAAATGTAGCATAAGCAGAACTGATTTGTGTGGTGCTAGGCAGGGCAGGGGATGAATATATGCACGGTGGCTGCCTGGGGCAAGTGAGGAAAATCTATTTCATACGCTGCCAATGCTGCAGCTGGCCATCCCTCTTCCAAACCTAAATATTTATGAAGCTCTTCCCCTCTCCCCCCGCTGGTTGCTCTACATCCCAAATTAGGCTAGTTGAGGCCGGCCAGTTGCTCGGCCCTCTGCTAAGGGCTAGTCTACCCTGGGAATGTGCATTGGAAGTAGTTCATCTCGCAGAGGTGTGAAAAATCCACACCCTGAGAAATGTTGCTCTGATGACCTGGCTCAGTGTAGGCAGTGCCAGACTGATGGCCGTGCCACCAGGAGGGGGAGTAGCCACCTGTCATCTCTGGGAGATGAGCACAAGCATGATGAAGCAGATGTAGAACGGAAAGGCTGGGTTTTGCCTTATCCTTTTCAGGACACCACTGGTATCTGCCTTTGAATTCCCTCAGAGGGAATCCAGAAATGCCTGGGGCGGAGTGGGGGGGGGAACTGTTTACTGCCTCCTTTAGATTAGTCCTTGGGAGATAAGAAATGCGCTGCTTCCCATTAAGAGTTGGTGTTGCTCAATCCCCTCCCATCCCCAAAAAGCCGCAGAAAGGCTGAAACTAAGGCAATTACTGGGGGTGGGAGGGAGAGGGGGAAACGTCCTTTGGGTGGTGGGGTTGTGCTTGTAATGAACCGAATCCAGTGTAGCTGTTGCTGGGTCAATCCCAGGATACTAGGGGCCCAGGTGCACGGGGTAATCTTGAGTTGGGGGAGGCCACCCAGATCTCTGCGTTAGGTTGGGCCACTGCTGCTCAGGTGAGCTGTGAAAAGCAGTTTCTCATTGTGCCAGGGCCAGTGCTGTTCAGTGGGCATCTTGCCAACACCTCTCTGGCCTGCCGGGTGAGGTGGGGAGCAGTGGCATTAAAGTCAGTTAGCAGCCAGGGGATGTGCACTTAGGAAGGGGCTGAATTGCTCCACCTGCTTTGATTGCAGCCTCCCAGTGAAGGGAGGGGGAGAAAAGGAAGCATGAGGCTACTCCGCCCAAACAGAAGCCAAGCAGGCGCTCTCCAGTAAGCCTTTTCCCTTCCCTGGCAGCACCCGGAGGGCTGTAAGTCTGAACTCTTACCCTTTGTTTCAGTTCTGCGGTCTCTTTGGAGAGCGCTCAGAATGTGTGCTGGATTCTGCTGTCTGCGTTTCCCGCTCTGTGCTCAAGGGCAGTGTGCGCAGCAGTGGTGTGAGCCTGGGGGGTTGGCAGAGTGCTTGGGCTGTCTTGCCAGCCAGTCCTGGATGGCTGTGGCATTTGGGGGAGATGTCTGGACCTGATAGTCTGCTTTTCGGTGAGCCTTATGAAAGGGACTGTATTTGGGGGTGAGGTTTGGGGTTTTCTTCCCAGCTTTGCCATTAACACCTTTTGTCTTTGGGCAGGTGGTAAAAGATCTGTGTCTCGGTTTACGTATCTGTACAATGGGCATTAAATGTTAGAAACCCAACCATTATCTGCCTGTTAGAAGGGGGACATTGCAGAGATTTTTATCAGATTGTTGTCTCTGAACCCTGCTGGAAAATGAATGATTCTTACTGCTTTTCAAAGGGTTTGGTATAGAGCAGTGAAACTGACCAGACTCTTGTGTTAATTTCACTCTGTGACACCTATGAGCTTTGGCAGAAGTTCTGGCTCTAAGCAGCGAGCGGGGCAATTGGGAGGGAGATTCTTTATAATCCCAAGGGTTAGACCTTAAGCTCTGTTGCATTAGAGTTTAAACCTTGTAAAAAATGGGGTCTGAGGCTCCAGTACTTGCTATTGAAGCATCTGGAGTAGGTTTGGATTTTTTAAGCCCAGGACAGATATTCGTGCTTAGCATAGATAAGCAGGTGGTAATGTCAGCTGCAGCAAACATTAGCGCTCTACGATTAAAGAAGTAACTATTGACTGTTTGCTTCAGTATCTCTTTCTGGGGGCAGATTTAGATTGTATTAAATTGGTAGACAATGAAAACCTGATGGTTCTGCATTTTTCCCTTCCCTTAGGTTTAAGCCCAGGACAGATATTCGTGCTTAGCATAGATAAGCAGGTGGTAATGTCAGCTGCAGCAAACATTAGCGCTCTACGATTAAAGAAGTAACTATTGACTGTTTGCTTCAGTATCTCTTTCTGGGGGCAGATTTAGATTGTATTAAATTGGTAGACAATGAAAACCTGATGGTTCTGCATTTTTCCCTTCCCTTAGGTGTGCAGCAGCTTTCAAGTATTGAATTGTAACAAACTCCTTTTGAGAGAAGGAAAAACAAGACTGTTTGTAGCTGTCCTGCCAGAAAAGGGTTTGAAGTCTTCTGTGCTGCAGCCTTAAGGGAAGTGGGCAGAGTCACTTATTTCCCTTGTTTGCTCTGGGAACAATGCACCCTAATCTGGGACCTCCAGGCATGTTTAGTTACAGGAGTGCTGGACATTTTCATGCGAAATACCTGGAAATCTTTGTTTGTCCAATGCTCTGAGGACATCAGAATTTTAGCCTAAAGGAAATTAAAGAATTAACCAAGCTCTGGAGTTAAAGGTTGAGTGCAGAGAAACTTTCTGCCTCTGCGCAAGTCAGAAAGTGGAGATCTGTGGAGTCACACTCCCGCCCAGGGCAGAATGGTCACAGGTTTGTGTTGGAAAGAATGCTTGATAGCGTCTCTGCAAACCTGGAGTGATCAGGTGGGAGATGAGGGAGGTAGTTCTTATCTGTCGTGGGCACAAGCACCGAACTTGCCAAAAATCTGTGGGCATTATGTGCAACAAGTTGTCTTGAGTCGACCGCAGACCTGAGTGCATACTAATCCCTCTTCCGACTGATCTAGCTGATGCTGTGAAACGTGCCAGTGTGTGTGGTGCCAATGGCTGGTATTTACCTACATGGCAGCTTTAACTCCTGCCTGTTGGGTTTGCAGAGGGTTACTAACTGATTATTAAAGTGCAGTGCAGCTGCACCACTGACAGGCAGTCTCTAGGGTCAGCTGTTTCCATGTCCTCTCATGAGCTGGCTGATGAAGACCTGTGACACTTAGCCATTATCTGGCCTGCGGGGCACACAAGATTATATGCACTCCGGCACCTGTATTAAAATAGGTTCTAAAGCCCTGGGACTCTTGGTAATGAAATCTTAATGAGAAATGCCAAGGAAATCCGGGTACTTCAATAGGAGGCAGGAACAGGCAAGTTTAACTCGCAGCAGATGACCCTAGTATCCCCCTCCGTGAGTTGACTCTTAACAATTTGGCATTTCAGGGACCCACAGCTGAAGATCAGAGGCACCAATGTGTACGATGGGATTGTAATGTACCTCCTGCACAGTGCCTCTGAGGGAGGAGAAAGAGCCCGGAGCTGACAGCCTGCACTGGTGCTTAGA